GCAGCATACTCCGTTTTGTGGATTACAAATTCCCTTGATACACGCATTATTTAAATCGCACCGCTCCAGACTACCATCCGCGTATTTTGTTGCTTCACCATCTCCAGGACAAAGTTTGCCTGGAAAGTCTTAAAGTTTTCATTGTTGACGTCGTAAAATCGAGAAAATACTTTCTTTAAGCCTACTTCCTCTTCAAGAAAATCATTCCAGCTTTTTTATGGAGAAAAAAGTATCTGAGAAATTATCAAACAAGTAATTGTGGTAGAAGAAACTTTAAAACTGAAGACTTTATACTTACAAATACAAATATGAACAAATTTTAAAATAAAAAATAAAAGACATGAAAATATATAATTCTAATCCAAATTTGAAATTTCATTTTGAAATGGGTGAGAATGAATAAATTTTTCCACTTTTCGGCCTTGACTTCAGTACTGCATTATTCTGCTCAGGCGAGATAAATGGGAAGCATGCCTCTCGATACTCTGAACCCACATTACCGTACAAGCACATCTCATCCTAAAAACATAAACCTTTTTCCTCATTTCCTAATGAAAGGAAAAAATATCTAGCTGTAAAGTAGAGTTCTATGTCTAAATGTATAAGAATAAATGTAAGTATAAATATAAATAAAAACATAAATATAAATGTAAATAGAAATATATTTATATTTGTATTTATATTTATACTTGTTTATTTATATATTTAGTTGCTTACTTTGGCCTAGACTATTCTGTTGGTTGTGGCGTAGAAATATTTCTACAAACTAAGGACAAACGCTACATTCATCACTGCTTTAACATGCCGAAAAAAAAAACAATAACCGCTTGACAGTCTTCATGGTTTACACACGAGCTCCTCCTGCACATATTCTGGTAACAAAAGAATCCGTCGTCACAATGCCACCGACCTTCGCAAGGCCTGCTGGCAGTAACTGCTGTGTCCGTTCTACTGCCAACTAAATTTAAAAAAATTAAAACTGTTCAGTTTTTTAGGAAAAAAATTTTCATGCGTAAAATTAAATTTAAAACACCTTTTGAAAAGAGCCTAGAATGTGCTTTAAATTTTAATTAAGCATATTGTTACTGTTAAACACTGATCATTTTTTTGGAGCGCTGTTGCACTTTAGTTTGCCCGCCTCTAAACACGTTTTTTTTTCGTCTTCATCCCACCTTCATTCTTTGCATATGTAGTTTTTGGATTTTCCCGTTCCATCTCTGATAGATTCTTGTCTTTGTATTCGTTGCTAACTTCCTAACCACATAGTTTTAAAGTTTCATCTTAATCCTTATAGCGTCTTATAACAAGATATCGCCAGCAGCATATAGTGCAACCAATAGGAAGTACATTTTATAACAATAATTTCACGAATTTGGGAGGTTCAAGTCAATTTTCCCTTCATCCCGTACAAAAGTCCTGCTCACAGTTCTCATATCTCTTAATTGTCTTCTGGTTTACCTAAAGATATCTATGTAACATTTTAGCAATGCAGATAAAACTTCTTGGTCCACTGTATAAGCTGACCAGAGAAGTTGTTTAACAAGGCTTTTGAAAACGCATACTCATACATATGTGCGTAGTTTGAAAAGATCTTGATTTATTCCATTCAAAATCTTGTACTGTTTTTCTGCTTGAGTTCATTGGATTTTTGCAGTGTTTTGAATCTTCTCGTGGATTGTACGGAGAAACTCAGAAGGCTAGATGGGAAGAAGACATACAGAATTGTCCTTAGTTTTCTACTGTATTATAAGCTCATTGAGTATTACTAATATTGTTCTTAACTGACATAATCAGTTGCTAAATCAGTAGCACCAAATTACCGGATGGACGAGCTGGTACCGTAAAGGCAACAATTTTTCCAGACTCGTGCTCAGCAACACTGAAAACCCACGAGTTTGCAAGCGTAGAGCAGCCACATCTTCCCTTTTAAAAGACACCTTCATCGATTTCAAAGACCAATGGTTTTAAATTGCAAGTAGAGGCCTAATGCTCTAGTATGATGACTAAACGCCACAAAAATTACTCCACTCAACAGCAATGTTCAGAGCGAATCCCATCTCTTCAACAAATGATTTTAAAGTAGATTATTTTTCAACCATTAAAAAAATGACTACTGGAACACCTTTCACAAAAAAAGCAGGACCTTTCAAAACATAAGTTTTTACGTACTGCTGCTGAGAAGCAAAATTCTTCCTTTTCATCAAGAAACATGCAGATCAATTTAGACCCGTCACCATTCTGGCGCTTATTTTCCGCTATCAGCCCTCAAATTTATCACACTACCGTTCATTGGCAAAAATCGTATTATCTGTCAATTCGGAAGCGCTCTGTCAGAAAAAACGCAGAAAAACCTATTTTTATTTCAAGTTTCTTTGTGTATTATAATTACTCGTCTATTGAAATACTTCGTTTGGATTCGCTAAGTGATTTGAATCTAAAGCCATTTTGAAGCGAACGAAACTAGCAACTGTGGAAACTATTTCAAATACAAACTCTAAGATCACTTCTGGTCAGGAACATTGAACCGATAACACTGTTACAGTAGCAAAAGTAGCCGTAGTACATTGGAGAGTGGGTGGAAGAATCCAACATCACATGGTTGGAATATATAGTGGCTCCTACACTATGCGCAATAGGAAATAAAAAAGACTAATGCATTAAACCGTTAGAAAGTTAGTACTAAAATGCAGAAAAGTCTGAAACTTCCATAAATAAGCGAACGCAATCAAGAACTTCAAAGTAGAGAGACGTTTAAAATACTACGTCAAGTGGTTGGAAAAAATTTAAAATAATAGCGCCATGTTTTTTCTGTATACCATCTTATACAATTTTACTGTTTTTTTACTGTATTACCTACTGATAAAATGTTTTTTCTTTCCTTCGTGTTGGTAATTAGAACAACTTTGATGGTTATAACTGCCGCAATATGTAATCAAAAGCTGATCTGAGCAAAATGAAAATAGTTATTGTGAATATTTAGACGGAAAAGAAGATAACATTAGCATTATGAATGTGGCCATTCAGATATTTCCGCACAACATCAACGAGTAACGTCAGTGTAGTCAAATCGATGACACCAGTTAAAGAAGTACTAGAGTGCAAAAAACTCCCTGAACACAGCAGAAGAGATTTTGACCGGCTTGAAGCACAATTGGAATCTAGACGCTGCCAGTTCAAACCTTTTCAATTAGCACATACGTTCTCAATACTTTACCCTCCAACTATTAAACAATGAAGCGTTTGTTAATAGTACTATTTGTACGTCAATAACTAGCAGTAACTGATTGAACTTAATTGTATCATTGAAAATACTCAAAACTTTAATGGTGATCAAAGCTGATCTAATTACATACTGCATTAAGACTACTGCCGCCGAAGTTGACCGGTTAAAAAATAAATCTGCTTTAAGCTTCGAATGACTATATATACTATTTTAAAACAAAAATCTTTTGTCTCCAATAAGCAAAGCAGGTATGTAAAATTTATCTCCTTTTTACTGTAATAAGTGTTTAGAAGTTAGATTTTTTGTCGATATCAATAGAAAGACTAATATTTTCAAAGCATTTCGCAAATTTATGTATTTATCAAGCGGGTTTTTGATATAAAACGATCATTTTTGACAGAAGAAATTTTATATCATGATACAATAATCAAAACAAACCAAACATTTATTTCTGTTGTATAGAAACCCAAAACCTTACCGGAAGAAAATTCGCCGAGAAAAAGCAATATTAGAAACATCGTTTCCTGAAAAGTAATTTTAGGAAATAGGATCATTCTTTTAATATAGAGAAAGACAACAAAAAATGTAATATTTTTGAGCGCTGTAAGAATATCGTCAAGTCATTTAAATTTTTGTATGAAAGTTTCACTCGTCTACAAAGTAGTAATATTACTACAGTCATCGAATACGAAAAATATGCTAGTGTACCATGAATTTCGGCGGCAGCAGTGGACAGTATGCCAGCTGAGTAAATAACGATTTGAATGGTAACTCTCAAAATCTCATCAGTAAAACTACAGTCTCGTAATCAAAAACACTTTTTTTTTTAATCTTAAATTGAAATTTCTATTGGCAGCACCTAACTCGGTTTTCATATTATAGCAAATATTGCTTTAACTGTAATATTTTACGATTATGAACTGCTGCATCTGGTGGACAAGCCCACTTCTCGAACACAATACCTAATAAACAATTTAAACGTGACCACAACTTTGCTCTTATCAGACACTTATTAAATGTGTCTTGATTTCCTCATTCCCTGTTATTTCAACCGTTTCGAAGCCTCTATTTGAGAAATGTTTCTATATCTTACTTGCTCCAAAAAAAATCGCATCGAACCGGTAGTTTTTGGTAAATTCATGCAATCAGCAAATGAGGGCAATGAATATGTCTATTACTTATTACAAGTAGTAATTCGTTATGCATTTAAGGTCCTGACAATACGATAATACCAAAATTTTCTTGAGAACGGCACCACAGCGAACGGCAAAATTTCTAGTCCCTCCAAACCATGAAACCAAAAACCTGTAATAATCATAGATTTACACGTATGATACACTATGAAAATATAAGCACGTTAAGAATGTTCAGACAATTGCTAATAAAGGGTTGAAAGCAGAAAAAGTAAAACAAGCAGAAGAGACCCAAACAGACAGTAACAAGCAGTTCGTTTAGAAAAAAAAGCAGAAAAAAACCAACATAATCAAAAAAAATCAGCGCGCCATTAGTGAAAAAAAGTGAAAAAACACCCTCTGAAACCAAAAGTTTACTCTTGAAACTAGCAAGCGAGGCCAAAGGTTCATCGTTGAGACTGCTGCCACCAACAACCATTGGTAACTAGCTATCTCAAAATGTTCGATCACTAGTTTTTGAACTGAATGAAAACAGTTCACGGGGTACTACTTGCTCAGGCATCCTATTAATATCGTTTTTTGAAAGTACACCGAAGCCCGCCGTTACGGGCCTTCGTGGCACGGAAGAAGTAATTCATGACCACTACCTGTAAAACCCGTCCCGTCCCTCCTTCCGTCTCTAATTCTTTTACAGCCTGTTATTTTGAACAACAAACCGTAAAAGAAAAATATTGAAATTTATCAGGAAAAAGGCTTTTTATAAGCGGAGATTTAAGTCACGCTACAAAAAAAATGATGCAGACGAAAAGATCAAAACCATAAATAGCGCGTATCACTTGTGAGACAGTAAATCCGCGTATTCCTATGACGTACAGCTCGCCATGGTACAACCAGCTGTATAGTGTAGTTTCCGACGTCCTTTTATATAGGCAGTTTGCACGACTTACTAAAACTTCCTGATATTAAAAATATCCACAGACAAACAGGTTTGATAAGCTTTGTTTCGGAAAAAATGACAAGCGGTAGTCATTGTTGAAATATGCATGGCACTAGCCATCGCAAGATATCTTTAATATGACCATACGATGTAAAGTATGCACAGTTTTCAATGCTGCATCAAATACTTTATTCCTTAGTTTTTCTGTACACTACCCGTTGGACAAAAATCCTAAACAAAACTAAGTAACTTGCTAACCTGTTAAAATTCTACATGCCTACCGCTAATACCTGTTTAAAATTGTTTGATTCTGTTAACAAGCCCGCTGACGAAAACTACAAACAGGAAGGGTCATGCGACCAATATGGACTGCTATTAGGTTGGTTTCAACATCTGTAACATAACAGTAACTACAAAAACTCGTAGTCAGTACTTCCTAATTCGAGACGGGGAACGCAGATATTAATTACTGTAAAGTTGCCGTGTTACTTGTATGCTATATTGTAATAGTTTCGTTGGTCCACACAATACGGCAAGATGTTTTTCATTTTCATAATTATGCTGCTTCCGTTCAACTTGGTGTACAAGTGTAATATTCATTATCAACAAACTTCACTACATTTCTTCTTTTGGATTCTGTTTGCTACTGGCATTTCTTTTCCGTTTTGCAATGTTTTTCTCTCACCCTTTCAACAAATTTTACTTTGTTTACCTGGGAATAAATAACTTATCTTCCCTAAATTTAGTAAACACCTCTTTTAACTGAAAAATCTAACTATTACCTCTACTCCAACACTAACTTACGAAGCAATGCGCGGCTCTGTTTGTGATCGCGTTACTTGCTAAAATTTAGTCGCTTAAAACAAAAAAAATTCAAAATTGTTTTTCGAACAAAAAATCTAAGCATTCATTTAGAGGACAAATGCACTATTCTCACAAGAGATGCACCGAAAACTGGCAAACCGTCCAGTTACCTCAAAACCACTCATAAGAACTTTCGAGGAATATACTAGGCAGTGTGCTAGCATTCCCCCGTTGAAAAAGCGTCGTTACAGCTATCAAATAGAATTTTTTTACTTTAAACTCATCCTCACTTCACCTCGTTTAACAGGCAGTTTCAGAATTACTTCTATCTTCTTCCTAAACTTTTAACGACGTGGCGTTAACTTTTTGTTCTAACCTTACGGCGTTTCACAGTCCTGCTTTTTTGGTGATGCGTAAAGTAATAACCACAATGCCTAATCTTTGCTTCCTTGCTTCTCCGCTCCTATAGCAATGTTTATAATCTGGCCATCATGACATTACGGACCGTTTAGCAAAAACAGTAGACAAAACACTCATAACCAGAACTGGCCTTGGAGATTTGTTCACAATTTTAGAGAACAGTGTCTTGAGAAACTTTGTTTCACAAAAGCTTTGATAGTCTCATGGTTCAATCAGTTTTAGAAAAATATCTAAGGCGCAACGCTCACGTAGGGTTCCTGACCACAAAGAAAAACTGCCAATAACTGCGAAAATGTTAGGCAGTTACAAGACAAGTTTAAACCTTTTGCCTTCTCGAAGTGAGTTCACAATACGTAACCACAATGCACCACAACACTCATTACACGCCACGGAGAAGTTTATGCTGTGAAAGGTCACAGTGGTCACTTCAGAATTTCAGCAATAAAAGATCAACAAATTAAAGGAAATGGAAAAATTAGTCTGGAATCAAAAAAAAAAAATGAACCAGAGAGGAATGAGAAGCTTTAATGTAAAAGATGGTAGGTTGATATCAAAAGGAGAGTAAGTTTGGGGGTCAGTACGCTTAGTTTTTCAAAAAGTTTCGCGGGGCAGAAGCAGTGCTGCAGATTTGCAGGATCTGGTCTTAATTTTAGATTTAAGCTCATCAGATAAAAGGTTTAAAGGTAGCATTACACACGTCGTCAAAATTTTCGATATTCAAAGCAAGTACATACAAATTTGGAGTTTGCAATTTTTGACTGTCTCGCCTCCCAATTGAAAAAAAAAAGAAATCTTGTATGTTTTTCAAAGCTCCATTATAGCATCTCATCATCAAGTTACCGCTAGACAGGAAAATGCACCACTCTTTGCTGCAACATGCAACTCAAAGTTAAGGAAAAATGCGTCCCTAATTCCATGGTTTCACAGTCTACAATTTGAAAAATAAAAGTAAAAAATCGTCGCAGTAAATGCAAACTAAATTACCACTACCTCACCAACTGTACTTCTTAAATATTGTCCATCACTGAGCCTTGTGCGATCGGTTTGATACCAAACCGAAATATTTGGAAGCAGCCAATAGAATTTTGAATAAAATATTTTTAAAAAGATTCAAGAACTATCCCTAAGAGCTACTTAATTTTCCAGCTGTCGGGATCTAGGTCCACCTTATCAACTCTGTAAAAACTGTTTTTAACCTTTCATTCTTCCTCGACCGTCCCCCCTGAGACCCGATTTCATCTAGCACTTCTTCCACAATGCCTACTGAAGAACATTTGGCTATATCAATAGTTCTCAAAAAGCTTGTATTGCCTCCAAGTCTGCCAAGGAATTACAGCAGAAGTTTGGCAAGTAAATGAAACTAGAATAAGCGAATACAGATTGGTACTCTTGACGGCTGTCGGTGTGCATGCAATTCACCCATCCAAGCAGATGGCGCGTGGTTTCAATTGACTTTTAGCAGAAGGCTTCAGGAAAATAGAAGCTCAAAAAGCCTCAACTATCTTTTCCACACGAAAGTTTAGAAATTTGCTAGGACCTACTTCTTTATCTCGAAAAAAAAACATCTAGAAAGAAATAGCGTAAAAATCCAACAAAGCCTCAGATCATCTCCCCTCGCTTCTGCCTAGATTTTGGCAGGAGCCAAAATTAAATACTAACCACCAACACCGCAAAATATACATTTTTTACTTCGCTTTTCTAATTCAGTTGAGAAGAGTACCACCCTTCACGACTTCTACCTTGCATATCAGTTCGGCCCCATACTACCGCCTTTCTGTAACATTTTCAAAAGTCCTTTAATAGTCCAAGAAAAATGATGCAAAATTTGAATCGGAGTATGTCTAAAAAAAATGGATCATGTTTGAAGAAAACAGAATATGCTGACAACAGCCTTTATTGACAAGTTTCTCACAAATATTACAAGGTGTTGGCTAAACAATATAAACCACATGTCGCACAATAAACAAGTGCCTTTGACTCAACCCGCAATTGAAAAAAAATGTGCCAAGGGAAGTTAAAATGAAATACAAGAAGTTAGTAAAAAGCATCTGGCTAGAAATTAAAAACGCATAAACAGAACTAAAAAAAAGAAACGAAGTAGATAATGTTGAGCTCAGGTATCAGTTCCGCAGTGCATTATATGAACTGGTCACTCCACTCCTTCAGACAGTTGTAGGCAGACGTGGCATGATGTGACGAAACACCGGCGACCTCCTGCAAAAAACCTGTAGCAAACTAACTAGTGAAATATTTCAATAAACAAAATCATGAATTTGCACTGAAATGACAGCTGTTAAAAGGAACAAAACCCAGCCTGAACATACCTTCAACCAATCTACAAAAAGGTCCTTTTCTTTCTTTAACAACAAGAACTGCCCAAAAACAACGTACGCCTGAAAAGGATAGTTCACTGTAAATAAAATATGAAATCTCTTACCAAAACAAAGCCAAATCATAGACCAAAATGTGTTTCATCAAAAAAACGTGTTGTCAAAAGAATAAAACCACCTATGAAAACCAAGGGGTAACCTGGGTGGCGGGAAATTAAAAGATCCACGCTTTAGAGCAAAAAGTTCCTACATTAACACGTAATGAAGCATTTTGTTAAAATCATCTAGAGAACTGAGTGGGCGCTTCTCAATAACCCTACTGCACACAACGCAAAAGTTGAAGAGCCCGTACACCAATAATCTAAAAAAGCTTTTCTGAATTTCTTTAAATTTTTAACTCGTTTCTGTTTCAACTTTACAAACCCCTATCTCTCAAAAAAATGTCAGTCATTTGCCAAAATAAACAAAACTCTTGGTTCAACCTCGCTCACTCCGCAAGTGTACCCCTTTATCTGTAAAAGTACCCACAAAGTCAACTTTCGACTTACTAATCCAGTTTCATGATCAGAATTAGAAAAAAAACCTTATCAAAGCCAGCTTGGGTCAACTTTTCACCATAAGTAGGCCCTATGCCAGCTATCGCTGTAACCTCTTTTTCGCCCATTGGCTCGGAAATGAATTCGCGATGCTTCACGGACGTCGTACTCATTTTTGCTGCAGCAAGAAACTCAACAGCTTCTCTGAAAAGCTTAGCCTTACTTTACTTTTCGCTAGTACTCCAAAACTGCATCAAAATAAGATATGATAAACTTTTATAGTTGATAACTGCATACACAGAATACATTTAGTGAAACTTCACGAAAATGTTTTTTTGGTCATTTTTCAGCAAGCACCTCTCCTACAGAAATCTTTTAAGTAAAAGATTTGAAAAACCCGAAACTCAATTTAGTAAACGACCATAATACTACGCACAACTAATAACTGCAAAAGGACCAGATGATCTTTCGATGGCACAAACGTTACTTTTACAAACGCTGATGCAAGTTTTATCAAGACTACGTTGTGTACACAATCATCAACTATAAAAAATCTTTTATTTTCTAAAAACCATATTTAGAGGCAATGCAAAGTTTTGCTGTTAGTGGAAAAATGCACAATTCTTGTGCCGATATATGTGTAAAACTACATCTGGTAAATAAGTAAAACGGAGAGTAGTTGACAGATCTTAAGGCTCAGATTAAAAAGCTGCAGATCTACCACCGATCTGCAAAATAACCAGTAGCACTTCAAATTCACACAAATAAATATACAACAATAAGCACATCAAAAATATGTACATCTGGTGTACATCTGGTATATGTACATCTGGTAAATAAGTAAAACGGAGAGTAGTTGACAGA